AAAACATGCCTCTATAAAAAAAAAAAAAAAAAAAAAAAAAAAAGAAAAAGAAATTTGGAATTGTGTGAGGCACTGAATGTTAACAAAACCATTGTGCAAAATGCTATACACTTTAAACTTACACAATATTAGATGTGAATTATATTCAATAAAAACCACAAGCAAAAAAACATCATTTCCCCCCACAAAGAAAATTAAATTCCATAAAAAATGTATGTGACTGTTAATCCATCAACAAGTACATGCTGAATATGTGTTATGAATGGAGATAATATCTGTGGGAGGATAAAATGCAACATTCAGCATAGTTCTGGCCCTCAAGATGACTCCTAGTTAGGTGAAATGCAGTTACCATGAAACGCCTACTTACTGGGGGTCACACAGCATGCATTGAACCCATTATTGCCATGAGAGACCAGGATTCCATAATCCCAAACAGAACCAAGAACTGTTTAACTATGGACATGAATCATCAATGCTACAGAAACATCAGGAATGGGAAAGTTCAATGAGAAACCCTGTGACCTTGCAAGGTCTGTAAGAGGTTGCAACGTTGGGTTGGGTCTAGAAAGCAGGACTCACTGCTTGTGAACAGGTGAAGAGGTAAGCATGTTGTGTTTTGCCATACCAGACTCACAAACTCACAGCCTCAAAAAAAAAAGTTTAGGGAAGAGAGAATAAATCAGAAACACAAGTAGGATTTAAAAATCCTCTAATCTCATGTGAAATAATGATATAAAAAACACGCACACACACTAACCAACCAAATCAGCACTCTAAGAAGTGACAGTGAATTTTTATACCTTGGTTCTAAGCTGTCAGATTTTCAACTGTTTGTGTGAATAATCTACACTATAACATTCTTTTCTTTCTATGTTGGCCTAAGGATATGGGTTGTAGGACCCTTTGAAATATCAGATAAAAAGGAAAAGAAAAAAACTATGTTAGGTGAAAAATATGAGAATAATGTCCTATCAGAAAAATGATAACACAGGTGTCCAAAACAAGACAAAAGCAGAACACACAGGAGAGAGGAAATCTCAGATGCCACAAATCAAAAGCCTTTCAGAAATGTGTAAATATAGTAGACTTCTTGCTGTGATTGCACGGATCCTATTTGATCACAGGTGGACCAGTTAATCAAAATGTCATCCTACAGAATCAGAAAAATGTTCCTCCTGCCTATTCCTGCTCCAGGCACAGGGAGCACACAACAGAGGTGAAGGGAGACTGTGGCCAGACTGTGTATTTTATTACCCACTCTGTTGACTACCAGCTGCATAACATGGCCTCTTTGGGCGTAAGTGTTCCAATTTGTAAAATGGGTGCAAGGATTCCTAGTTGAAAGGACTGTAATGGCAATTAAGTTTGCAAACACTGTATATGTGTATCTGACAATTGGTAAGTAACATGTATTTGTTAAAAATACATTTTTTGGTAGGGACAAGTTCACTTCCTTGCCTAGGTATCCTATTGAGTCCTCCAATGTCTATTCTTTTTATCATCCAACACATACTTTATGGTTGTCTATGAGTTCCAGGTTTTGTTTTTCTTAACAGTAGAACAGAAACTTAAAACCATATAAGAAGCCACTTACACTCAAAAACCCTCTACAGTTAATGCGGTTCCCTAAACTTCACTTGACCAAATTTTTTAGAGACTTGCCTTTTTAGATGCTTTCGAAACGTTCGCATTTTTGTATCATAGTTCAACAGTTTATGTAATACTTTAAAAAATTCTTAATTACCAAGGTAAGTACTACTAGTGTAAACATACAGAGTGGCAGAGGTAACTCATTTATAATGAGTGTCCCTCTCAACTGGTGGAAGTGTACTCAGGAGAGCGCCCCTTACTAGCTGTCAATGTTCAGGAACTGAGGTAAAAATGATGAGAACTGGTTCTTCTGGCCAGTAGGTTCAAGTAAGTTTAGGCAGGGACTCCACTTCTATTTAGAACATTACTGTTGCATTTTATTTGCTATATTGCTTTCTCAATTCTTTAGAATTTAGCTCATTTTTTTTTATTTTAATATAGAGGACTTTCTCAGTCTGATGCGTTACCATCCATAGTCCCAGAGATATCATTGTGGAAACAAACTGACAACACAGCAGCTCATTGCCATTCTTATAACTTTAATTTTCATGCTAGTCTCTTTTCTTCCTTTCCCGGCATGAACCTGGTTCCTTTTGTATGCTTCCCAGACTGTCAATGAATGCCTAGAACTAACCCTTATTGTTTCATCTACACAAGAATTTGCTAAATATTATCGACGTATCATATCCTTTTATTTTTTATTTCTGAGGGACAAAAAATTGATTGCCTCTTTTAAATTTTTTTTCCATTTTTTACAATTTACTAAAATCACAAAGGGTAAAAAATCTTCTTTCTCTGTTTCCCTTCAGGCTATTAGCAGCACATCTTTCACAAATTCCATTTAAATTAGAATGGCCCTCTATGTTTCCCTTCCGATTGTAGATAATCATTAGTGTGTGTTTAGCAGATGACAACTTATGCAACTGTCTGAGATTCACAGAGAATTAGGTAGACTCTCTTTTTTTATGCTTTTATTATTATTTTTTTAAAATAAATTTTATGTTTATATTCCCCATACAATTGCAATCCCCTTATTTTGACCCCAATCCCTCCCCTCCCCGCCCCCCACCCTCCATAGAGTGTCTCTGGTTCATAGTTTTTTGTTGATTTTGATTTTCACTTTCTTATAGTTATTCATTTTCCTGGTCTCTTATTTAAGTTTTCTAGATTCCTGCTATAGTCTACTGAATCTCCAGACATGAGCAGAGCTCTAGGGTCTATAATATTTGGGACTGGGCACACTGGTAGAGTTTTTAAACTCACTAACCATACTTTCACACAGACTGGGAGGACAAGGCTGCATTTCTGAAGCATCTAAATATGCAAAATAATGCACAGCTTTGAGAATGAATTTGTGATATTTATTCAGGATTCCATTGAACAAATAATAATAGAGCTTCTATAAGGGCAAACAAGCTCAGACTGTTTTTTAAGCTAATGTCCCATGCTACATATTTGTGCCACCAGAGAGAGCAAATTATTTGTAATGAGTCAAATAATTAAAAGAACACCTGAAAAACCAGCAAGTCCATCTGTGGTTGTGAGCTGTAAGATATTAGTGGGCAGCCATCATGCTCTCTATCATTCATCTTCACAGGGCTATTAGCAGCACATCTTTTACAAAATGTCATTTAAATTAGAATGGCCCTGTATGTGAAGACTATTTGGGGAGGAATGTGAAGCAGGCTGGCCAAAAATACCCCATGAATCCACACTGAGTTCTATTGTTAGCATCACACCATCCCCTGCCATTTGGATATGGATTTAAGGAAATTGTGAGAGTAAATGAAAAAGCTTAAATATCTATGTCCTCTATGTTTACTGTGGAAATAAACCATCATGATTCATAAACAAGGACTACAGATCCTTTAACAGTATTCAAGGCAAGTCCAAAGTTAAAACAGGCAAAATGGAAAAATTCATGAGGTGCAACATCTGTTACAAGTAATTATAATACTGGATCTTGATTATGAGAGAGCTAAAGAAATACAATGTTTTATAGATGCAAGATTCTCTATGACAAACATTTATTGTGGTTGGGACCAGGAAACAGAATAGAAATAACTAATTCTTCCACACAATTTTTGAGTCATAAATTATGAATTATGCTCTAACAGATAAAGCAGAAAGGAAATTAATTTAAGAGATGAGATCTATTTTACAATTCAGAGAGCTGTTTTATTTTAATTTGGGGGAACATTACATTTTGATGTCTGGCTTTACCAACCATCTTTCTTTTTCTAAAACAAACTCCAATTTCTTCTTATTTCCCTGAAGAGGTAGAGGAAAATGTTTATGCCAAAGTTCAGAGGGTATATGAACAACACTGTCTCAAACATCTGAGAAACTGCTGTCCAGTAGAACTTTCTATAGTGATGGAAATATTCTATAGGCACATTGTCCAATATGGCAGCCACTGGCCATCTATGGTTTTTGAACACTTAAAATGTGGCTAGTTTGACATAGGGACTTAATTCTAATTTAATTATTTTTCTACTTAAAGTAGTGCCACATGACCAGTGTCTACAGTGTTAGACAGAGAGGTCAAGATCATTTGTCTGTCTTTTCCCTTTCTCTCAGCATTTAAACCAGACCTGGGGGTTATTCTTTGTAAACTCTATATTGCCTTTGTGAAATATCACATACCCTCTGCCACCTTAGCCTCAGAAGAGCTTTGAGGAAGGCTCACTGGCGCTTGTGTGAGCAAATATGCACATTAATAGGATTAAAAAGTGGGAAATAGCAAAGGTCAGTCTCCACCCTCCTCTGCCCCTTTATGAATTTGCCTGCAGTCAGATGAATTCTCTAGAGCTTTGTCAGGGACAACTTCAAAATGATTCAAATGGTTTGACTTTTTATGACTTTCCATGTTATGAATTCAAGCAAAGAAAGAGTTCAATGAGACGGAGTTTAGACAAAGAGAATCTGTGAAACACTGAGGCAGAATAGGAAGTACTGTGGTGTAAGGAGGAACTCTGCATAGAAAGAAATATCAAAGAAAAACAAACTCCAAATCTCTTTCATTACAGAGAGTTTGAAAGAAAACGTAATGTCTGGCATTGCATAAAATTCTTCTTTGCTTATCACAGAATGCAAGCTTACTAATATTGGTCCCCAAAGCAATCAGTTATTTCTGACTCCATTCCACATTTTCACTTAGTTTATTAGAGGACACCTTCTGATCATCCCTTTTACCTGTTTATTGTTTTGATGGATTTCTTTATCTAAATATAGCTTACAAAGTCAGAAATTTGAGACAGTCTATTTTAATGACATCCCTTGAGAGGGTAAAGAATTGGCATACTGATGCAATATGCCTCATCTAGAGAGATAGTGGTAACTTTTGAACTTAAGTTCTTGTCAATAACATTTCAGTAGTAAAGATTATTTTCCACATAAACACATACCTGGAGGAGCAGATCAGAAGTTGGTCGGACTCTCTGTTGGAATAGAATGCTTAGCGTTCGATTCTGTTGTTCCAAATCAAACACTCTTGTTTTTAACTTCACACATTCTTCCCTTAGATCCTACAAGAAACACATTGAAAGAAAAAAATTGTGATGGAAAGACACCTTTGCATATTCTAACCATATTTTACCTGCTATTTCAGACATATTAGTAAATATAGTATTTTTATTCTTCAAAGGCTCTAGAAATAAATCATACCCAATGCTTTCTTCCATAGCCCATTGTCTGATAGAATTATTATGTGCAGGAAAGACCAGTTTTTTTTTTTTTCAAAAGCACCTTGAAATCAGAAATGCATTAATCTTGCATGCTATTTTGAAGATGGTAAATCTTAGTGATATAAAGTCAATTTAAGTTTCCACCTATATATTTTGCCTCTTCACTGTCTTAATAAAAGCAATCATAAAGCACCAACCACCAGGACAGTAATGTTTCTGCAGTGAATAGAGATTTGATGAACTAAAGAAACTATCACTTTTGATAGAGTCTTTCTTTCATTGATGGAAATGAGTTGAAATTTTCAGGGCTGTGACTAATAGAGTCAGCGACGCACTTATTGGGTGAGAAGCAGCTCTGAAGGCTTTAAAAAGCCACCAGAAACTTGTTCACCACTGAACTAGTGGATTTCCATATTACATGGGGTGTTTTGGTTTCAGGGCTGGGGAGAAAGTAGAAGAGCTATACCTGGCAACCTGCGGAAGCAGCTTTTGTGAGCAGTTCAAAGATCACAGAGACCTTCCCCCCAGCTTTCATGAGGGGAGTTGGGGATTCTCGGGAACTCCACCAAAGAATTGTCATTCACACTAACATGTGATAAAGGCACTTGTAGTACTTACAGGTCTATACTCTTTGATGGGGTTCTAAACAAATCAGCTAGAAGAAAGGCACAATGCAAGGTTCAAAAGCTGACCCTTTTCTACACTTAAAACACTATCTTTCATTACTTAATGATTTTTTAAAAAAGGCTTTGCTTTCACCATGCAAAGAACAAGTTTGTCTGCTTATTATTATTAAAAGTCATATATTACTGCCACCCTTTTCTCTCCTCGCCATCTTTTGTCATCCACGTCCCTCTTCCAGTCCCAGTTTGGTTCTGTGACATATAATTTAAATTTTATCTCCTCTCTGACATTTTAATGCCCCCTACCAAATTTCTCCCTTTTCTGAACTCCAGTAAGCTTCACTTTGTATTGATTTTATTTTTCATTCTCTAGACTTACCAATTAGATGACATGTTTCTCACAAGGCAAGCACAAAAGGATGCTCAAATGAATAACAGCACACAAATATTGTTCTTACACTCGTCCATCAGCAAGCACAACACTACATATGGTAGGAGTTCAATAAATTGTACTATTATTTTGTTATAGAGGATAATGAAGTCTACTCTCTAGTGCTGGTGTGACAGTTTGTTTCTCAGCCCTTTTAGCTTGTGCATCTATATATTCTGACATGGGGGAGCTACTTGCAGACCTTATTTAAGGCTTTGCCAGCAAGAGAGAACATCAGTCAACTCTGATGCCCAGCATCGGAACGGGAGCCACAGATGGGAATGGGCTTGTTCCAAAACCTTGTATCAACCTAATTGTGAAAGTAGAGAGGCTTTTGAGGTCTTATCTGAGCATGAATGGTATCCAGTCTTATTCCTTCTATTTACAGAAGGCAAAGAAACAGTTTAAACTACACACTCTGCATAGTGTACATTCTCCTCACGTTTTGAATTAAATGGATAGAGCTTATGCAAAATATGCTCTCAACTGATTGATGCCTACAAATGCAGACAAGAGAAAAGAAATGCCATATTCAGAGTGAGGTCCCTGGCTGTAAGATGGAGGAAGACAGCAGCCTCAAAAGTGGGGTAGAAGTGTGTGTGCCCACATGAGCACACACATCATGTGCTGAGGGCATTTTGGGGGGTTTAGACACTGCTCAAATTAAGAGGTTACATTTGTTTTCTTTATTTAGAATTCAACCTCTGTCTACATCTCATTTATGCTAATTTTTGTCCTTAGCATGTCTCTGCTACCAAATACTAATTGTTTTCACTACTGCTAATTAAGTAATTAAAAAATTTGACTGTCAGGTAAATAAATATTAATAGTATCTATTTGGTGGGAAAACAGGATCATTCTAATTTGCAGGTAGAGCTATGGAAATAAGCATACAAGCATGGATTGGTGAGGAAAAAGGAGACACATAAGTAACAGCAATAGTAGCAATAGCTGAGGACAACCTGAAAGGGTTCTTCAGATGGGTAAAAAATAAAAAGAGGGGATGAAAGAACAAAAATCAATATTCTCTATAAAGACTTTTTGTACAAGTGTCCAAATTTCAATGGGTATTACTATAACTAAGGCGGTAAAAGTTTATTAGCTGTAACACAACTGATTGACCTTGAGAACTGTTCATCACTCTTGGCTCATCTAGATCAGCACAAGACAGCAGGGGAAATGGAAGTCTTCAGGAACGAAATACTGGTTTTACAATCATTGACAAGCAGAAATTCTGGACAGAAAATGTGTAGACAAAAGAATTGCCTGTGTTGTTTTAATATTCTTGGTGTCTTCAGTCAAGCAGTGGATGGGAACATGCCAGAGAGCTAGCATCCCAGAAACTGCACATGCACCCATCTGCACCCACATAAACACGAACAGACGAGATAGATGGAAAGAGATCATGACAGTGAGACCTGGGCAGAGGGTGGCAGCCAGCTGCCTTTCCTTCCTGCCTTTCATAATAGGACCCACTAACATAAAGTGACTTTTGACACACTAAGGGACGTTGCAGGGTGGCTAATCTGACCCTGTCAGCTACAAGACACTCCTTTCCAAGTAAGACATTAGGAACAAAAAAAAAGTCCTCTATTTAGATGCCAGTGTCAGGGTTCATGGCTTCCAGCAGGGGCTGACCATCTTTCTTTCCTCAATGCTTCTTTCTCTATGACTCCCTAGTCTCAGACTCAAGAGAAGACCATGATGGAAGTATAGGGTTGTGTCCTCTGAAATACGAAAAGGGGACATGATGTACATTTTTATTAGGGGTAAACAATGCCTCAACATCTGCCTATATTTAGTATCATGTAAGAATGTATAGTGGTCTTTGGGTTTGAACAAATAGCCACATCTGTTTCCTTTGCAATCTGCTTGGCCCTATCAAGTAGAAATAGAGTGTAAGGAATTACAACTGAATGTCAGAGTAAAATATACTTAGTAATATGATACAGTGGTCTAAAGGAACCTGTCTGTCTGAATGATTCTAAAACATAAATTCCTTGAATGGTCTACACACTGCAATTCTGGTAAATTTCACTAGCACTTGAGGCTGAGTAAGATTCTGGCTCCACCGCTATATCATACATACCTCTGGAGTACAGTTCCTTTCTGCACTGTGAGCTCCAGGTTGAAGTAAATGTAAGAAAACGTGGAATGTTTAGAAGCAGAATATATGCTAACGATATTACTGGAGTATTGCTGTAAACTCTTAAAGATGGGTTTTTATGTTTAAAACATTATAGTGATATAATTCTTTCAGAGGCAGAGTACATAATGGAGATGATGTAGGGTGGGACTTAGGGGGCCCTGGCTGTGGTTCTCATTGCATGACCTGGAGAAAGCAACATATTCTGGTTAGACTTCAGTTTCTTTATCTGTAAACTGAGTTACAGCACAAAACTAGACTTTCAGGAGAAGTTTGTCTCATGTGCCTCATGTTCTGGCTTTGGAAGTGCCACCTCATTCCTTCTCTGAAGCTTAAAGCACACCTACTAGCAACTCCCTGTCCTCTTCCAATGAATGTGACTGAGAAATTCCTATCTTCTTTTCCAAGGATGCTAAAAATTCTGTAAGAAGAAAAGTCATTTCTAGAAAAGAATGGTCACATCTTTAGCTAAGGCCCTCACCATCAAATACCTAAAAGTCAAGGCAGATGGCACAGATGCATGCCTGATCAGGCCAGCTGTGACCAACAGGAAGTGGAGAGTCCTGTAGCAACGTGAATACTGCAAGTCTTCCTTCTATAGGCATTTGGATTAAAACATGTTTAGGGCTTCCCTGGTGGTGCAAGGGGTTAAGCACAGCACTGCGAAGCTATCTGCAGCTTCTGCAGCACGAGTTCGACCCCCCGCCAGCCAGGGAGCAACCCACATGGCACAGCAAACCTCTTCTGCCTCACCCACTGCTCCCCTCAGCAGAATATTTCAGTAGATCTGCCTGTTCTTCTCCCCTCTCTCTCTGGTGAATCCTCTCATGCCTGCACTTCTGGCTTACACCTCAGTTCTTGTATGCATAAATAAATAAATCTTAAAAAATAAATAAAACATGTTTAATCTAGGTGATGATTAAACAATTTATATACTTACAGTGATGAGACATTACCAAAACTACTTGGCAATCTCAGGATGAGACGCTTGCTAAGTCCCTGGTAACTGTGAAATTCTAGGATACACAGTAAGTCTGATTCTGAGAAAGTTTGACTCCAAATTTACAAAGACAGTTTTGACTCTACACATGTCAAATCACAGCTATTCTTTCTTGTAAGAACTGGCAAAGCTTCTAGCAGTTGAAAGAAATCTGTTGGCAACCTTTTCTTTTTAGTTCCTGTGATCATACCTAATGATTGGATCACAGTCTATCATCCGCCGGTTTTCATAGCATCTCCTCTGCATGCTGAACAGTGGTGGGTGAAAGCAATAAGAGTCTGAATGGTATCATGGGCCTGGGTGATGCAAAAGGGTAAGAATATAGAGCTGGAGTGAAATAATTTTAGGTTAATATATGGACTTTGTCACTACTAGCAGTTGGAACTGTGGGCAAATTATTTTCTTAATCCTATCTCACAGGGTTGTAAAGAGAAAATTTGCTTCTATTTGATTTTTTTTTCCTGATCACCTTTACTATGATTATTCATTTATGGACACTTGGTGTCATTTGTGAAAAAGTTGAAATCCTTAGGGCCTATCATGTCAATGAACAACATGGCTATACTGCTTCATTAAAACTCAAAAGATAAAAATCCTTATTTTGATCTAATAGAAATTCTCTAAAAAGAATTCACCAGTTAT